CGTCTAGATGAATAGAGAGGTTTACCTTTATCATTATACTGAATGGTTTGTTTTTCTGTGGAGCCAGAGTAACGGGCATAGTTTTTTGTTTTGTTTTTTTATCATCACTGACCATGATAACCAGGAGGTCACCAGAGGTGGTACTACAGACACCGTGAGAGGTACCCAGTCCTGTAGTTTGATCACCTCCTCTATCTTCTCATTCTTCACAATGTTCACACTCTCCATCATGTCTTATCAGCATAAACTAGATCTCCACTTTTGTCACTGCTATGTCGTGTGGTTCGTCCCCTACTTAGTTGTGATTGACTTGAGTAGTGATCCCTGATTGATGCTGTAGAGTTTCATGGTGCTGTCACCTCCACTTGTCCAGATTTCTTCATCACTCAGACAGGCCACATTGTAAAGGTAATCATCATACCCAGTGTCTATGGTGGTGACAGTCTCTGGTTTATCAAGCAGCTGTTTGACTGGAGGAGAGGACCCATCTTCTGGTGATTTCTGTGCTGTCTTCATGCTGTAGCCATGTTCATCTGATATCCCTTACCAAAGTAAAATTATTGCAGCAATATTGCCGCTATATTGCGGCAACATTGCAGCAACACATTTTTGTCACCAGAAACAAGCTTTTTGGGTTAGTGAAATATCACCGCTAGCGGCAACAACTTCTGGTGACATTCTGGCAATACTGCCAGAAAAAATGAAATATCACCGCTAGCTGCAACAACTTCCGGTGACATTCTGGCAATACTGCCAGAAAAAAACTTTCTGGCAACATCTAGGATTACCCATGAGCCATTTGTTGAGCATGCTCAGTCATTTACTTCCTCTTTTTAAATAAAGTGGAGGGAATTCAAAGGCAAGCATGTTTTGCTTCATTACTGACTTGTATTAAGTTAATTAGAGTTGTTAATTGTGTGCAGTGGGATTAGTGAAGATGAGTAGTAAGACTGCATAGTGTGGAATGACTAGAAAAAAGAATTTAAGCAGAATTATAGGAATGTGTACTCTGTTTCCATATCATCAGACTTGGTGAGTCAAAACCAATATTCTTTTTGAGATGAATGATTCAATGGAGATAAAATTGGAAAAATTATATGTGTTTCAATTAGTGCTTGTGATGCATGCATACTACTCAGACTTGTATGTCTATATATCCTAGAGTAGCAGGAAAAGATGAATTAAAGCATGTATATATTTGAAAATTAATGCAGAGTTGCTGGACATTTGCACAGTGGCATATTAATATTGTTTCTATATAAACATTTTTTATGCGCCCGTCTTGATAGATCGGGGGTACATATTGTTTTTTGTCCTGTCTGTTTGTAAACTTTAACCTTCACCATTACTTTTGAACCAATGAGAGATAAAGATTTCAAATTTGGTATGTCTACTCCACTAATTAAGTTCTTTCAAATGACATCAAGGTCAATGACCTTGTGACCTTGACTGTGACCTATATGTTAAAAATAGCTTTTCGAATATTCACCATAACTTAAAAATTAATGAAGATAGAGACTTTATATTTAGCTTGCATAATTCACTAATTAAGCTTTTTCAAAAGACACCTGAAGGTCAATGACCTTGAGACCTTGGCTGTGACCCATATCCTTAAACTAGATTTTTTGAACCTTGGACATAAATCTTGAGCCATAAAAAATAGAGAACGTGTATTAAGTATGCACCCTTCCTTAATTAAGCTCTTTCAAATAACACCAAGGTCAATGACCTTGGGACCTTGACTGTGACCATATACTTAAAATAGATTTTTTGAAACTTCGACATAACTTTTGAGTCATAAAAGATGGAGAATTCATATTTGGTATACACCCTTCACTATTTAAACTCTTTCAAATAACACCAAGGTCAATGACAATTTGACCTTTACTGTGACTCATATGCTAAAAATAGCCATTTTGATCCTCTGCCATAAATTTTGAACTATAAGAGATAGAGACTTCATACTTAGTATGTATACTCCACTAATTAAGTTCTTTCAAATGACACCAAGATCAATGACCTTGTGACCTTGACTGTGACCCATATGCTATAAATAGCTTTTTCAAACTTTATAGCCACCAGGCGCATAGTGTTTCACAAACATATCTTGATTTTCATTCTGATGATCAACATTATTTTCTAGCAGAAGTAGCTATTTCTTATTGACCCTGTGGCTCGCTATTGTTTGTTATATTCCTCAGCACAGTTTGTTAATTGTTAGATTGATTAGATCATTATTTCTATTAAATACCAATTTATATCTAACTTACATACAAAAAACAATATTGCCGCAATAATTCCGGAAGATGTTGCCAGAAGAAAATATTTTGGTCATGATTTGCAGCAATATTGCCGCAACCCCTTTCTGGCAATATTGCCGCAAAACTAATTAACATACGAAAAACGATATAGCCGCAATATTGCGGCAATAATGCCGGAAGATGTTGCCAGAAGATCAATATTTTGGTCATGATTTGCAGCAATATTGCCGCAACCCCTTTCTGGCAATATTGCCGCAAAACTAATTTACATACGAAAAACGATATAGCCGCAATATTGCAGCAATGTATTGCCAGAATGTTGCTGCAATATTGCGGCAATAAAGCCAGAAGATGTTGCCAGAAGGTCAATATTTTGGTAAGGGTATGTTAAAGAACTCGACGATAAAGTTCCAAATATTTTACTAAGATCTTGTCCTTTGATTTTGCATGGCGTGAATGTAGGTAAAGATGGCAGAACTTTTTGTGGAAGATTTCTATATCTCTCTACACTGAATGCAAGTTTAAATAGTTTTGACAAGTCATTAGATTCCACAGCAACATCAAGTGAATCGATTTCTTCCTTGATGTCACACATTGTCTTGTTTATTTCATCCAGATGTTTCTGTAGAATTTGTAGCTGTGTGTTTTTCATCTCATCAACTTCAGCTTTAAGTTTCTGGACAAGTTTGTCGATTTGTCTGTGCCAGTCCTCTCCATGTTTTGTTATGGCTGTTGAAACCTCTCCATATCCCTTTTCTAACTGACTCATTCTGTTTTGTACATCAGAGGCAATGTCCTGGTAGGTTGGGTAAATTGTCTTATTTAGCTCAATTTTTTCTTTAATTATGTTTTCCTTTTTTGCATCGAGAACTTGTAATATTTTTGATAATTTATGACCTAAATGTTGATCAGAAGCAAGGCAGGTATTACACACAGGAATGTCACATTAATTACAGTAAATTGTGCATTGTTGTTTGTCATGAATTTTACACCCAGGGAAGAGCAGCGTAGATTTTCTAAGCTTGAATTGAACAACTTCATGTCTTTTGGATTCAACAGATACCATGTGCTCTCCTACACAGGCCTTACATAGGTTGACAAGACATGTATCACAGTGCATCTGTACCACAGCGGTCTCACACAGGTCACATCGCATCACGTCCTGGGCACTGGTACGGGGGTCCATGATCAGAGTAGTCCTGTAGTGTAGAAAAAGGTGGCATTGTTAGAATGATAAAATTACACTAATGGCATCTCAATGTATTGACTGTTATCAATGTATTGTCAAGTCACATTTATCCTTAGTCAGGTCCAGGAGAACGAAAATAATAAAAACTGTTTAGCGGATCTAGAAATTTTTCGAAGGAGGGATTAAAGGAGTTTTTCAAAGGCGTTGGGGTGGGGAGGGGGGGGGGTAAAGGGGAAAGGATTTATTATATGTTTTACACAGTTTGGTTTCTTTTAAAAGTGGGAGGTTGATCAATCTGGGAAAAAGTAGATCTACTTGTATAATATACCTGAAAGTTTTTGAAAAAGAAAGGCAAATATATCTCCGAACCCGAAATTCTTGTTTTGTAAAGAGGGTGGGGTTTAATTATGTATTCTCAACCGAATTTCTTTATATATTACAACATAGCCTTTCACTGAACATTTTTTATTACTAGGTCAAACACATCAAAATGGGTGACTTTCTTCTCTTCCTTTTTTTGCTAATCCGTACCCCCCCCCCCCCCCCTGGATCTGCCACTGCAAATCATACTGAATTACTACTAGTACAAGTGACACTCTCGCTGCCTTGATCATTATTTATATCCATGACCTTGAAAACATTTTTTTCGAAAGGGATACATTCTTATGAATGTATTTCAAGAATGTACGCATGTCTTCAAAACGATCTTACATGTGGAAAAAATTCTTTCATTTTATATTATAGATACTTGTAGTTTATTGTGTCTTGTATGAAATTCATATGAATTAATTAAATAAAATTTATCAAATGAAATCATTCCATTATTTTTACTAGTCCGAAAAATCTGACGTTTTTCTGGCTTTTTTACGATTTTGATATTTTACATGCCAGGAAAACGTCAGAACCGGCACCATTACGAAAACTGGGAAATCGCCGCCTCCAACCGGAGGCGGCATTCAGAGGTTGGTTTTCGATACTTGTAAACCAAATTAAATGCTGAAGTCACATATTATCAATAGTACAAAACCTTTATAGTACTCACCAACATCGTTTTTATGTTTCGTTTATGAAATAATATAATCCGATGAACACATTTTATCTGGCTGTCGAGATTTGTTTTCATTTCGTGCATTTTAAAATCGTGCAAGTTCTTAATCGGAATGTGGAGTGGTAATTTCTATTCATCGCTATTGGTGAGTTCTAGGAGCATTGTGCCATTGATAAATTGTGATTTCGGCATCTAATTCGGTTCCCAAGTATAGAAAATCAACTTCAGTTGAACAGGTCGAGACCACTAGAATTTCTGACGTCAGCATAAATTTGCATACCTGTTTACTTTACCTTCTGATGAATGAATTTACCATGCATTGTGGGTTACTAGTAGTACCCAGCTTTGTTGAAAATAAAAGGAAACTTGAATTGTTCCTTGGAAAATTATTTCGAATTTTTTTTTTAAGATTTGTGGGAGAAATATTTAAAATGATGTATAATCTTTCATTTCTATGCTCACATTTACAAAATTTGCGCTATGAAGCCTTATATCAACTTATAAAAAATCGGCCTATAAACATTGTTCAAAGAGACATAAGTGCTATCGTGTCGATACACTGAGTTTTTCTCCACGTGATATACGTGAACATAGTTTGAGCAGGTAGTACATAGGTCCTTGGTTTTAGACTGCAGGAGAGGGTGTGCAATTATTATTTAACTCCACAATATTATCAGAAAGTGTTTTATGTACATGCAAACGTCAAAGTGTTTTTAAGGTATTAGAAGCAACTATTAATCATCTAAAACAACTCAAATATTAAATGTGAGCATGGAGCAATGTCTTTAGAATATAATCTTTCAATTTCGGTCTTATAAAGTGACAAAGAAGCTCTACAGTTTTTCCGATGACGAGGTAAATATTGTGCAACAAACCGACGAAAACCACGTGTCGCCATTGAATAATAAACACGTAGTAGACTGTCATGCTTTGGGAATCAGTCGCTTGATTGGACAACGGGTGTGACGAAGACATTGTCACGTGTTAAAAATTGGCTTCCATATAAGGTAGTGGTCTCGACCTGTTGAAGGCGGCGATTTCCCAGTTTTCGTAATGGCGCCGGTTCTGACGTTTTCCTGGCATGTAAAATATCAAAATCGTAAAAAAGCCAGAAAAACGTCAGATTTTTCGGACTATATTTTTACCTGACTTTAATGGCGTCTGTCTTGTCGGCCAAATGATATCCGAATCAATGTATCGGAGCACATGACCCACTTACCTGCTCACCTGTGCAATATCTATACCTGTCCGGTATTTATACTTCTTGGTTGAAGTCAAATGACGATTTAATTATGTTCCCCAAACGAAGTTGGGGAACATATTGTTTTTACTCTGTTTCTTATTAAGGTCTTCCGTCTTCAGCGGAAGACCTTCTTGTTATTCGTTTGTTTCTTTTCCACTGTTTTTAGGGTCTTCCGTCTTCAGCGGAAGACCCTTCTATTATTCTTCGGTTTCTTTTTTACCTTTATTATTATTATTATTATTAAGGTCTTCCGTCTTCAGCGGAAGACTTCTTGTTTTTCTTAGGTTTCTTTTCCACTATTTTTTATTATTATTGTTTTTTTTTCTTACCGATTTTGTGCGCGCGATTTCTCGAGAACGGCTCAATCGATTTTCATGAAACTTTCAGGTCTGATAGAACATCAAAAAATCTAGATATATATTTTTTAATTTTGATGACGTCACTTCCGGTTCGGAGTTTTCTGCGATTTAGTGATTTTTAGAGGGTCACTTTGTCCGACAGTTTTCTCAAAAAGCACTTAACACAGAAGCTTGAAATTTTCAGTGATGCTAGAGCAACTTTTGGAGAAGTGCACTAAGTATATCACAACTAACGGAAGTACGAAGCGCCGACGCTCGCTATGGCCCGAAAATAGTCCTATCAAGAATTTCAAAATTTTAAGTACCTTTTCAACGATAACTTTTTACCTAAAAATATTTTGTTAAAGCGTGTAGAACAAAAAAGGTGTAGAATTACAAGATCTTTCAAATGACATCTCAAAAAGGGCTGGCCCCTTAAATTAGGGGTCTTAAGGGGCCAAAAGTTTTTCCTTAATATCTCAAAAAGTATTGAGAATTTGTGATATGTCAAAGAAGCAAAGTTGTTCAAAATGTCAAGCTTAATCTAATGAAGTCGTCAGAATACGTCCGGCGTCGTCACTTCCGGCCAAACCGGAAGTAGTCGGAAAACGCGTATTTTTGCTGTTCTTGACAAGTTTTTTGGTAACACATGTCTCTGGGAGCATTAAAATTAATTTTCCGTCCGTCGTCGTCACTTCCGGTCAAACCGGAAGTAACAGAAAATGGCTTATTTTTGCAATAATTATCATGGATTTAGAAGAATCAAACCATTTTTGGACGTTATTTCTCATTTTTGTTAAAAATGAAAGCCACTTCCGGTTAAACATGACGGAAGACCTACTCGTTGCTTTGCAACGAGCTTTGCTCTAGTTTTTATTCTTTTTTCTTCTTACAAAATTTGTGCAGAAGATTTCTCGGAGATGGCTCGTTCGATTTGCTTGAAATTTTCACGGTAGATGCGTTATCATCTGAAGTTAATTCCGGCAAATTATTTTTTGGAAATTCACTTCCGGTCGGGAGTTATCGCCCTTTGATCAAAATTTGGAGGACCTCCTTGTCTGTGATGGAACTCAAAAACGGCTCAAGCTAGAAAGCTGAAATTTTTAGTGATGATAGAGGACATGTTCCCATATTGCACCTGGGTCAGGATATTTTCCGGAAGTGCCTAGTATGGAAGCTCGGTAGGGGTCAAAATTTAGGACACGTTTTATGAGTGGTTTTTTGAGACATTTTGTATCATATCATTTAAAATATGAATATTTTGTAAAAACATACTGAACAACATTTGTGCAAAATATCAAGATCTTTAATATGATATCAAGAAAAATGTGCTGACTCATCAAATTAAGGGCTGAAAGGGGCCAACAGTTTTTATTCAATAACTCTTTTAAAGTCAATATTTTGTTATACATTACTGAAGCAAAAATGTTAATCTCAACCATTTACAACTTTATATAATAATTTTTATGTCATATGGTACATAATTAGGGGCCACAAGGGGCCAGAATGCTAAATCTTTGATGCTTTATATCTCGAAATAGAGAAATATTTTGATAAGCAATATTGAACAAAAGATGTTCAAAATAATGTTCTGAGCAATATGCAACCTTTCATTTTTTGCTAAACAGCCCCATTAAGGAGTTGAAGGGTTGGCCCCTAAATATTTCTTTTGCTAATAGCTCAAAAACGAAAAGGAATTTCTAAACAGTTGTTGAACACAAAATGTTCAAAATCTTAAGAGCTTTAAGATGAGATCCTGAAAAAGGGGCTGGGCACTCAAATTAGGGGCCAAGAGAGGCCACAAGTCTTCAATCGATAAGTCTTTATCAGTTAATATTTTGTAATACATTACTGAAGCAAAAATGTTTATCTCAACCATCCACATCTAAATATTATGATTTTATGTCGTATGGTACATATTTAGGGGCCACAAGGGGCCAGAATGCTAAAT